GATCCAGCTGTGCTCAGCCCTGGGCATACAACACCTGCTCTTGACTCCCTGTTTCTTACTGTGTCCATTCAACACTTATGACAAAGCTCAGTATAATCTTTCTGGTGAACCCTCATCCCTGCTTCCAGCTCCTATTCTCTCTGTACTTCTGGATTGCTTCTTTCCAACTCTGAAGCCATTACACCTAGGTAGACAAGGTATAAAGAGATGCAGTGAATTATCAGGTGCTGCTAGAATAGCAAGAAATAACATATGAACTATCCCTCTACTAGCATATTTATGTATTTTCTTAAAAGTCAGTCTGGAATTCTGACTAAAATTTTCTAAAATTAATTGACTTTGGGAGGCAGAGATTGGATTTTGTTTTATGAAAAGTGGTATCGCTGTAGTTTCCAAATAACCCTACTAGTGGCCCTCAGCAACAGGAAAGAGAAAATACCATGAACGGGATATTTAGAACAATTGTCTTTCTGTCAAGTTAGCTGTGATCTCTGGAACACTTTGAGCTGCTTCAGTTCAAAGTCAGCAGTGGCAAGCAATCATACTGATGGGCTTTCTGGGCGAGGCTGGATTCTGACAAGAGATGACACAGTAAAGTGCCTCAAACAGTTCTGCCATCTTTACTGGTTGCTTATTCTTTCTCAGCTTTAGATGCGACAGTGCTGCTGGCCCATTTGGGAGACAGTAAAGAAACCAGGACCACCATCTCTGGCAAGCTGAGAAGCTATGTTGATTCTGTGAAAGCTCTAACTACAATCATCTTGGATTCCAAAAATTTCACGTTTGGTACCCATGGTATGAGATGTTCCATTGAGAGAGCTAACAGAAGGCGAGATTAGGTGCTTTGCTCTTTGATGTTAAGCACTGGGGAATTTCTGAATTTGGAATTTTGAATATTATTTGAAGATAAATTATTTTATTAGAGAGAAATCACCTATGTTGCGTCCACATATTGTAGGCAGAAGAACAAGTATAGAATAGCAGAAGAAGAGCAAGTATAGAATAAGTTTTCAGACCAAGAGATGAGGTGTATGAGGATTAGTAACAGCTGTTCTGATGTCTCCCACTGCCCTGCTTTCCCTGCACTGACTGATGTTCTACATGCAATGAAGTTTGTTACATATGAAATAAATTCTCTCATGCACTTTAGTCATTTCAATTACTAGGAACCATCTATGATTCTGCTTTGCAGCATCTCTGCAGATTATGCATCTTCCAGTACTGTATGAACAAAGTCCTGGATCCACAGAAGCTATATAATGACATTGTCCATGTTTTCATCAGTCTGATTTTGCTTCTTCCTTTTTTAGTGTATTGCTCATTCTTCCTTGCAAATAACAGAGAATAATATAAGAATAAAAGACCGCTATACGACTATCCTGTAATTCCACTTTCTGCACCGTTTCCTTGTGTGAGGAGTGGTCAGGGGCTTTGCAGCAGCAACATATGACAGAGCCAAGTAGTGCAGCTACCTGTGCTGCAAAGAATCATCTCTTAGGAGATACTGCTGACAGCATTGTAATGGTACAGAACTAGCAATGACACACACACTGTCAGCTCTACCCTGTAATTTCATTCACTTACTTTTGCACTGTGTTTAAATGCCTGTTTTTCCCTTTTAAATACTTTTAGTGTTTTCTTGGACCACTGAACTGACATACAGAGTCCAGCATCTGTGCTGACTCACAGACAACACAAAGAATGCACAGGGGCTGCCCAAAGCTTCGGCAAGCAATCCGTCCACCACTATCACTACTAAACAAGATGTAAATAACAAAGCTGGACTTAAGACTTAAATCCAGAACCCTGCTTTATAATGTACAGCCAAAGCCTCAGGTAGCTTCAAAAGCCATATACCTGAAGCAGCAGTTAAATCGTCCAGTATAAGAAAGGGCTAATTAAAATACAGCCCCCCCATACTGCCGTGGTTAAATTGCCTCGATGTTAAGGCATGAATGCATCCTCATAGTGCATCCTGTGAATATGCACATCTGGGCAGTGCTGGCTTGCGTAGCTCTTGGCTTCCAGTTTAAGCCAGAGAACCACAGCTCCCCACATAGTATGCAAAAAGAACTGGGCGCATTAGGATAGGATATGAAATATTTTGGGCTAGCCACCAGGAGCTGTAAAGCACAAGGCTGCGTCTGGACACCAGTCTTCTATAAAAATTAGATGCCTGAGTCAGCAACATAAAGGAAATATAAACATCCACTCCAGACCTAAAGCCTAATGCTTGGAAAATGAGAGCGCTCTGCTACCTAGTATACCCATACAGAAAGGGATTACAATTATGTCAAAGTTCTGACACATCAATTAGGCTTGCAAAGCAACTGAATGTTCCATAAACATGGAGAAAAAATGCTGAAGGAATTTACTCTGATTGTTAAAATGATTTGCTCTCCTGGCTCACTATTAATATGTCCTTCAAAGAAATGGAAGGTATACAGCCAAGAGCTCTGCTCTCTGACATACTAAGCCCTACCTACCATCAGCTGTCTTGCCCCTTTACAGTTTAAAGAAACATTTTGTAAAATATAATTGTCAGGACTCTAGTCTCTGTGTCTTTTCTGCTCTCTGCTGAATCTTATGTCTCAAGCATAAAGAATTTGAATGTAAACAAATTTGAGTGGTTAAACAAAACTGATACGTATTTCCTGCCCAAGGACAGGGCTTTAAGGAAGGACTAGAAAAATCTTTCATACCCTATTATTGTAAACAAGCTAGCTCATTTCATTGCAATTACTATTGAAGAAAGAGCTCTTCACTTTAACAGTTTAAAGTCTTCCAAGATTCTCTCTTCTGAGTTTATATTCTCATCCAAACACTGCTATAAGTGGACACAAAAAAATTCTTCAATCTGCAAATGAACTATTTTTTTTTTTTTTTTTTTTTTAAACAGAAGAGGCTGTTACAAACATCCTTTAAGAGTTCTACTAGAAAACCTGCAGGTGAATTTCACACACTGTTAATGGTTTTACTAGAAAGATAAAGACACATTCAGGAAATGCTATGAGCCACACCAAGAGCTCCTCACCATTGGAAGTGGAAGCCAGTACAGCTCACTAGCTCTGCAGAAAATTAATCCAGGAAAACAGAGCATTGGTGGGTTTTTTTTTTTTTTTTTTTTGGGTGGGGGGGGGAAGGGGGGTCTGAAAGGGATCCAAAGAGAAAAAAAGCTGATGTGCACGAGAGGATGGCAAGCTACCTCATCACTTCAGCTGCTTATGAGACCAAGCATAAGACATAATTAAGTGAATTTAGAGATTCTTTTATTTTTCCACTGAGGAAGACTCTTTTGTGATCTAGAACCTTTAAAGGTCACATTGTCACTAACTTATGGCATCCACTGAAGTTCACATATTACCTGACACTCATCATCTTTGAAAGATGATCTGAACTCACTTGCATGAAGACAGATCTCATGTATTTTCTTAACTTGTCCACCAAAGAAATTTGCATTTAATAATGGAAATAGGATTAATCTCAAAAACCTGCTTTTACAGAGTCCCAACCTGACAATTCATGTCTCCACAGCAGATCACACCACTGCTCTGTCTATCCCAGCAAAGAATCTGTGACAACTGTCAGTCTCTGAAGTTTGAAGAATTATCTTTCTTCGGTGACGCAGGATCAATGTAATTTCACAGAAGCTTCTTGTGCTGAGTTACAGCTCCTCCACTGGAGCTCCGCTCACCTCTCTCTCCCTGCCAAACTCACTGGACCAGGGCTATAGAAAGATATGATTTGATCTTTTGTGTGATTAAACACATCAGTAGTGCTTCTTTATGTTTTGGAACAATTCAATGATTGCAGGCCACAATCTCATGGTTTGCCAAACAACATCCATATCCATAACTATGCTCTTCTATTGGCACTGAAATTTTTATATTTTACAAGCATTATTTTGAAAAGGCATTTCATACATACATAGTGATTTTAAAGTAAATTCAATAAGGAGTTGTTTTTAGTGATGGTCTGTGTTACTCTGAAAACATACATGTGACCATATGTCATCCTTAGACAGCCAGCTTCTCGCCGCCTTTGATGCATCTTTGCCATCAGTTGCTAGCTCAGATGAGATGCCTTCAGAGTCACTAACTGCTTGTGCAAGGTGCACACTGATTTACAGAGCTAGTGGAGAACACAGCATTTCACAGTCTTCTAGCAAAGGACATTTCTATTCCATGAAACTTTTTCCATTTTTTCAAACAGTTCAACTATTTTTCAATTGCTGAGCTGAAATGTGTTCAAAGAATTTCAGCAAAGAACATATAACAAATGAAATCAAAAGCATATATAGTTCCGTGCTTTGATTTCAGCCAGCTTATTTACAATGGCCACAAACGAGTCAAGAAACTAGACCACCAGTCTGAATACATACCGATGTGAAAGCAGACTGCATAGGCAGAATGATGAAAACTAGATAGGATCCTTGCACAACAACAACAACTTCTTAATAGTTTCTGAACATGAAAAAAGGCAAGATCTTATTTAAAAAAAAATTTCCAATGTGATGATCACTGACTCATCCATATACATTAAGATGGGTCAAAACTTTCAGGAGTATTTCAGAAATTGGTGCCATTTCCTGGCTTTATGTTATCCCATTTTGAGACTATGGGGCTTTCCCCCCCC